ATTATGGAGGATATTTGATATTTATCATAATGGGTATTTTTGTATATCTTGGAGATATTTTATATTTATCATGAGCAATAATTTATGTATATTTTAGAGAATTTTTGTTTGAAAAAATTCTACTAGTCTCTATATATATATTTGCTAACCTATTAAAGATGTACTCTCAATTGATCATAGTAGAATACTTTCTTGTAGGTTTTGCCCGCGGATATAGACCCACTGTTGAACTATGTTAAAACTTTGTGTTATTTTTTATATACTTTACTTTGTTATGATTGTGTGCATTTTAAGGATTTATTTTCCAAATAAATGGTATCAGAGCTTAAGTTAAAGAGAAAAAACCATATCAGTTAGAGAGAAAAAAAATTAGGAAGACTAAATACAAATGCAACAACTGTATTTTTTGTTTCTTCCCTCAAGAGTAGCACCGCAATAGCAGCTCAGATCGCAACGACGATGACTATTGATAGAACCGTTCTCATATATCGAGCAACCAGGTGGAAGAAATCGACTGTGCACATTGCTTAGAGAAGAAAGATAGACACGATGTCAGATATGGTCTGTCCATAGAGCGTAGGAGTGCACACGAATGGAGAAGAAGAACCAACATGTGACAGTGAGGTGAAAGAAGGCAGAGTGGTGCGCAACCGGTTCTGCACACGGTGGAGACGAATATCAGCCCGCGAAGGCCAGATCTAGTTATTGGTGCATTGGGTCTGTCTGAGAAGGAGGAACAACGCATTTTTTGTGCAAGTTTCACTAGATCCATGCCGGATATAAACTTGCAGACAGTTTCTATGGTGATTTTTAATGAAATTGCGGTGGTATGTGGTGGTTCAGCAACTGCACGTGGGTGCTTCATTAGTTATATGCAATAGTTTTTTACGTGGTAGTGCTTCCCTGTGAGTGGGTTTTTTGTTTTCCAACAATGGTATTTTTCTTTATTTATTTTTTATGCATAGTCCAAGGATTCAAGATGACATACACAAAGTATAAAATAGCTAAGTTTAATGATAGAACGAGTTTTAGTCTCCAAAAAATTCGAATAAGATCGTCCCTCGTTTATACAGTTTATGGAGGGCAATTGAAAGAAGATTTCCTGAGGGTATGAGAGAGTCGGATAAGCATATCTGCAGGATAGAGCCTTATGTGTGATTTTATGAGTGTGAATGATAATGTTATGCGAGAAATTGCTGGAGATATTTCAACTTCAATTGTGTGAAAACAATTAGAAGAGTTATACTTTGTAAAATAGTGACAAATCACCTTTATTTGAAGGAAATATTGTACAATATAAGAATGAGCGAAAATAAGCTCATTAACAACATCTTGATGAGTTTAATTACATAATTATGGACTTGAATAACATAGGTATTAAGATTGATAATTAGGATCATACATTAATTGTATTGTGTTCATTACCATCTTCGTATGAGACTTTTATTGATATTCTATTGTATACGAAAACTAGTATTTCACTAGATGATGTTAGTAAAATACTAAAATAAAAAAAGTTGAAAAAGAATTTTCCAAAGCATAAAACAGAAGATGAAGATTTGGTAAGTAGGAGAAGAGTATAGAGAAAGGCTATATCAAAATCTAGAGGTAAAAAGAAAAACTATTTTGAGTGTAGGAAAGCTAGTCACTTTAGGAGATATTGTCTTAGGCTAAAGAGAGGAAAATAACAAGAGAGTTCTATTAATATAGTTTGACATGGATAAATTTGATAATAGTAATAACAGTACTGGGGTAGTTCTATCTGTGAATTCGGATCACTGAAAGAATTCATAGATTCTTGATTCTTGTGCTATATTCCACAAGTGTCCTCATAGACATTAATTTACTACTTACAAGAAAATGAGTGGTATTACATATATGGGAGATAACAGTTTGTTGACTGTACCTGATATTGGTAATATCCAATTAAGAATGTTTGATGATATCATTAAAACTATTGAGTATTAGCATGTTCCTCAAATGAAGAGGAATCTAATATTTCTTTCTACATTGACGTCTGGAATTATAAATATCATGCAAAAAATGATATCTTAAAGTGTATATAGGCTCCAAGGTACTCATGAAAGACAATTTGGAATCTAGATTGTATGTTCTTTATGGGAATGCAGTTTCAAAGAAAGTTGTTATAACATCAAGAAGCAATAATTAGAATCAGTTGTGGCATCTGCATTTAGGTCATATGAGTGACAAGGAGTTATCTGTTTTAAGCAGACAAAGTTTGTTAAATGGGTATAAAAAAGGAGCTCCGGGTTTTTGTGACCACTGTATGTTTGGCAAACGAACCAGAGTGAAGTTTAATAAAAGGACAATGCATAAGGCTAGAGATAAGTTAAATTATATCCATTCTAACTTATAGGGTCCATACAGAGTTCCCTCCAAGAGTGGTGTCAGGTATTTCATGACCCTGATTGATAATTACTCTCGGAAGGTATGTGTATAATTTCTAAAATCGAAAGAGGATGCATTTTCAATATTTTTCAGACGCAAGACCATGATTGAGAAGTAAATAGAGAGGAAGATCAAGTGTTTTAGGACTGAAAATAGATTAGAATTTTAAAATTATGCATTTGATGATTTCTGCAGTACGGAAGGCATAGTGAAACGCCACACTTATGTTGGGACACCATATCAAAATGGTGCTACAGAATGCATGAATATGATGCTTTATGTTAGAGCACAAACTATGTTGTCTCATTTGGGTTTGAGACATGAATTTTAGATTGAGGTTATGAACACTGCTAGTTTCTTGGTTAATAGATCACCATCCACATCTATTGAGGACAAACCTCATTTTGAAGTATGGTATGGATCTCCTGCTAATTACTCTCAGCTAAGGATTTTTAGTCGTACTGCTTATACTCATGTTAGAGATGGTAAGCTTGAGTCGATAACAAAGAAATGTATATTTTTTAGGTATGCATCTGGAGTGAAAAGCTACAAGTTGTGGTGTAGTGATCCTAAGTCTGTAGGATTGATTACAACAGAGATGTGAAATGTAATAAGTTTGCTTCACTAGGCAGTTAGAATGAGAAGATAATAGCATAATCAGATCATAGTATTAGAGAGTAAGTAAAGTTAGAAGTTCAGTCCAATGGTTTAGGGAATGAAGTGCAGGATCTTAATCAAGAAGATGATGGTGCACCTGATTAATAACAAACAGATAGTATTACAACAGGCAGGAAGAGAAGACAGATTAGACCACCACAGAAGTATGAGAATCTGATTGCATATGACTTGTTAGTTGTAAAGACAGTTGATTTGCAGGTACTAAGGAGTTCAGATGCAGATCATGGAGTTGGTGTTGTGTGTGAAGAACTTGATGGCAGATATCACTTCGTTCGAAAATCAGGTAGCAAGTTTAAACATAACTTAGACTTGGTTGGAGTAAATGATATTTAATAGCTCCCTTGCGAGGGATTGGCAAGATAGCACGACAAGACGGTCAGTTGTTTTGATGATGGAGAGAATTCAAGCAAATGAGAAGATTTATTGATGTGGCTTAAATTTCGGAGATATCTTATCTATATTATGTAGGATATTTGATATTTATCCTAGTGAGATTTTTGTATATTTTGAGAATATTTTGTATTTATCGTAGGGAATAATTTATGTACATCATAGAGAGTTTTTATTTGAAAAAAACTCTACTGACCTCTCTATATATAAGTTCATTAACATATTGGTGTACTCTCAATTGATCATAGTGGAATACTTTCTTGTCGATTTTACCCGTTGATGTAAGCACACTACCGAAACCACATTAAAACCTTGTGTTATTTTCTATATGTTTTACTTTATTGTGATTGTGCGTGGTTTAGAGATTTATTTTTCTAATAGAGGCATTTAATTTAAGAGCTTGAGTATTATTCAAATTCTTTCTCTATCATTTACTACTCATTGGGTTGCTCATATAATCTACATACTGTAATAATTTTCATTTTAAATTAAACTTAACAAAATATTAAGTTAATTATTAATAAATATAATTAACAATATTCATTGAATTAGACTGTGATCAACAGTATCCGGGATTTTTGCAAAGATAAGATATCATAAGTTCTAAAAGCAAAATGTAAAAATAAAAATAAAATCAAGAACGAAATACTATTTTTTTTTTAAATGTCAATATATATATATATATATATAATAATCCTAATATAAGGTAGTCTTGATCTCTCTATTTCTCGTTATTGATTATACACATAATTAAGAATATGCATTTACCTTTAACTGGATTCATCACATATATCCTTAACAGACATTTAGGAGGATAAGGGTAAATATTGATTAAAAATAAACATAAAATAAGAGTATTTATTCATCTATAAATGCAAAATTAAGAGTAAACATTAATTCATCATCACATATTTCTCAAAAGAAAACAAATCATCATGATATAAAAAACAAAGGGACAAAAAAAATTTCTTCAAATTTTGTTTTCACTTCTTCTAAGTTTATATTTAAAAAAATAAATAAATAAACAAATTTGCTAGGTAAGTTGTCTTTTGAAAGGAACAAATGTCTAATATAACATAAACTATTAAATAATTGGTTCTTTTTGGTGGAATAGGTATGGTATTTAGTCTAATCAAATCTCTAAAATTAATTGTTATTATCAAGAGTTAATGGAAATCAATTGTCTCCTAAATTAATTTTTAAAAATTAGTTAACACATGTATGTAATTAATTATTTTCAAAATCAGTTGAATAAAAGCATGTAAATTAGTTATTTCTAAAATTAAATTTTAAATTAGCTTAATATATGTGCGTCGGTGTACGAAATTAAATTAATTTAGTATATGCATGTAAATTAATTATTTCTAATATTTATTTTATACATGTATGTCTGTAAAATTAATTTAATTATTTACTGATTAAATTAATTTTAATAATTTATTGATTTGTGCATGCTCATTTTAAAAAATAATGGTGATTAAAAATTATAAATAATAAATTAGAATAAATGATTAAATTTTCATTCACATTTTACTTAAAATAATCTCCAGATCAAATTCACCATTTATTTTTTTCATGTTATTTTGTAGCCTATGTAGCTCTTGTCGAGATTCATCAATGTCAGGTTGCGATTCATCACCAGAAGAGAATACTCGAACACTGTTCCTTACCTCAATCCAGCTTAGCCCAGGATCCTTTTCCAAAGCCAATCCTCTCTTCTTCCTTCTCATTTCTGCAACTCTATCCCACCTCCCCAGAGCTGCATAAAAATTAGAAACCAATACATGTGTTGCACAGCCTTCTGAGTCTAATCTTAAGATTTTTTCCGCAACATGTACACCGATTCTCAAGTTTCTATGAGTGACACAAGAGCTTAACAAAGTCCTCCCTAATTCAGGATAACCTTCACTATAAGGTGACTCATTAACTAATTCTTCTGCTTCATCTAATAATCCAGCCCGGCTTAACAAACTTACCATGCAAGAATAGTGCTTGGGCCCCGGTAGGCAACCATTTTCCTTCATATGAACCCAGAAGAACTTTCCTTTTTCGACAAAGCCGCCATGGCTGCAAGCAGAGAGTAGGGACAAATAAGTAATCTGATCTGGTATATGACCGTGTTTTAGGATCCTATCAAAGATCATCAACGCCTTGTCTGCCATTCCATGATGACCATATGCTAGAACCATTGAATTCCAGCATTTTAAATCAGGATTTGAAAGTGCAGAAAAGATAGATTGAGCAGCTGCCAAGGTACCACTTTTGGCATACATGTCTATTAGACTCCCAGAGACTGACATGTCAGTCTCGTAACCTAGTTTCACAGCAAGGCAATGGATCATTTCACCTTGTTTAAGAGTTGCCTGGTCTGCACATGCACCTAAAGCTCCACTTAGGGAAAAGCTATCAGCACTGTTACATTCGAGGTACATTTGGCGAAAAGAATTAATGGCGCATTCCCCATTTGCCATTCTAGACCACCCCATGATCATTTCAGTCCAGAGTATCACATCCTTAGCGGAGATAGAACTGAATATCCTTGCAGCAGATTCAGGGTCACTGTTTCTGAAATACATTGATACCAGAGTAGTTCCTACGAAAAGACTCTCATGAAATCCTGTTTTTGTAACTTGGGAATGAAGAAGTTTTCCATATTCAGAAGCTAGCAACAGGGCAGTTGCAGAAATGACAGCTGCAAAAGTATACTCATCAGGTTTAGGAAAAGAAATTCTTTGCAATCGGATAAACAGATCGATGGCCTTCTCTCCATTTCCATTTTTTAAGCACCCTGTAATCACTGAATTCCATGAAACCAAATCTGGGTTTCGAATTCTACTAAAAACCGAAAAGGCAGATTCCAAGTCTCCACAATTGAAATACATATCAAGCAAGGCATTTTGCAGAGGTAAATCAGCATCTGGGTTAGAGACAATTACTTGGGCATGAAAGAGTTGGCCACAAAAATAGTCTTGTAACCTGCTACAAGCATTGAACATCATCGAATACGTAAATCGAGTCGGAGTAACACCAGATCTCACCATACAACAAAATAGATGAAATCCTTCTTTTATCTTGTCATTCTTCAACTTACCAACTATCATACAATTCCAACTAACAGCATCCTTATAACCTATACATTCAAAAATTTTGTCTGAAGATTTCAAATCTCCACAGTTTGAGTACATCCCGAGAACTGACGTCTGAACACATACATCATTTACATGTCCCTGTTTCAAAACTCGAGTATGCAGCAAAGAACCCATCAGCCAATCCTCCGTCATACCAGACGCCCGCAGTAGGCTCGTGAATGTTGAACCATCGGGCCTCACGCAATCAAACTCCATCTGGGTAATCAATTTCAATGCCAAATACGTATGATCAGGAGTCTTTGAATATGCGGACATGAGCGCATTAAATGAAACAAGACTCCTTTGCGGCATTTTGTCGAACATCAGCTGTGCGTCGTAGAGTGAGCCGCATCGAGTGTACATAGAGATCAAGTTGTTGTATGTATAAGGAGAGCGAGTTTTGGCGATGGTAAGAATGAGAGCATGGAGTTCGCGAGCGCGTCTCAGGGAGGTTATGGAGCTGCATTTCTGTACAAGAGCTCTAAGAGAATATGATTCCTGCGCAAGGGGCATATAGAGAAGGCAAATGGTAGTTTCGTAATATAAGCACCTGTTCCCGATAAAAAGCTCAAAGTTATTTTGATTTATATATTTGATTTTTAAAATATCCTTCCAACTTTAACTATTTTTTAATTTGGTGAATAACTTTTTTCTTAATGAATAAAATATTATATTAGTTTTTTAATATGTTATTGTTACTCCACCTAAAAAAATATAAGTATTCATTCAGAAATATAATAGTTTTTAATATTTAA